CTTGCATTCCGCTTGTGCTCTTCTCCCTTATGGTCCTAGGGTCTTCTGTTTCTGGACTGTAAGGTTAAATACTCCCTGTTTTTGTTACAAAAGTTCTACCTTTACAATTGTGACAGTCACACTTAGTCATAAAAGCAATTGTTGTTGTTGTTGTCGGGTGCCATCGAGTTGGAACCAACTCATAACGACCCCATGCACAGCAAAACGAAACAATGTCCGATCCTGGGCCAACCTCACTACCACTGCCACACTTGACACCATCAATGATGCCACCTGGCTGATCCATCTTGTTAGGGGTCTTCCTCTTTTTCTCTGATCCTCCATCTTACCCAGCATGATATCCTTCTCCAGTGACTGTTTCCTCCTGACAATATGTCCAAAGTATGAGAGACGAAGCCTAGCCATCTTGGCATCCAAGGAGCACTCTGGCTGCACTTCTTCCAAAACAGATCTATTGGCTCTTTTGGCAGTCCATGGCAATTACTCACTATTAAATCATAAGAATGTTATCCCCATTTCTTCTCACCAGACCAATCTACACAATACACAAACTATTCAGTGGGGGAGGGGGGGCAGGAGCTCTATTTCCCCTGCCACATTCTTAAACTAAACTCCCTCTTGAAACGTTGAAAGCCAGTCACTTTGTGCCTTTATTGTCCTCTCATTTTAGGTAGCCAATGTCTAAATTGCCCATCCCTGTCTGTCCTACATTCGGAGGGGAGAGCATTGACACTTGATATGAAGACTCCTTCCCTCTCTGGTGGTATTTTGAGCTGCTACATCCATAAGTGTAGGTCAAGTTAATCAAATTGTAGCAATTTACCCTCATTTCCTTTATCCAAAAAAAAGGTGGTTTTTTTTTTTTATTTTTTTATGTTCTTCTAGTCTACTTCTGATTATCAAGAAGTATACTTCTGATTACCATCGAGGCTAGGTCAAATGTGTTTGGTGTGTTCCTGTGCATCTCCCTTCACTTCATATCAGCTGGATGCTTCACTCTCAGCTCTAGCCCTCTGTGGTTATGTCCTTGTTCATGGGCTCAGGTGGCCCCAGGTCTCACCACACTTTGGGCCAACCAGCCCTTCCTCTTCTCTCTTTCATCTCCAGGTCAAGGGATGAACATTTTTTTTTTTAATGAAAATTTATTTTTAATACTTGTATGTTGTTGTTAGGAGCTCTGGTAGCGTAGTGGTTACGAATCGGGCTGCAAACCCTAAGGTCAGCGGTTCGAAACTACCAGTCGCTCCGAGGGAGAAAGATGAGGCTTTCTACTCATGTAAAGATTTACACCCTCGGAAACCGTGTACAGGGTCGCTATGGGTCGGAACCAACTCGATGGCACTTAACAACAACAACAACAATGTTGTTGTTACTGTTAGTGCCACTGAGTTGGTTCCAACTCATAGCAAAGCTGTATAGGGTTTCAAGACACATTTTTGTAAAGAGAAGAAAGAGTGTTCTTTGGATGTTCTCATAAACAGAACCATTTTACTGTTATTGCCAAGACCCAGGACTGGGACTGAGGTTCATCCATTACTTGGTCCACGCTGAGTGTACCAGTAAAGGAGACATGCACAAAGTAAACACTGTTTCTCAGAAATATGCAGAGAACTTCCCCCAACTATGCAGTCGAACAGCTTCAACCAGACTTCTCTTTACTTCTGTGTAAACATCTATGACTTGCACAGTATGGCAGATCCACAGCAGCTCTTCACAAAAACAGCATGCCTAAGATGCCTTCCCTCACAAAGTCCCTGTTCCTGCCAGAAGGAAGATCAGAAGCCCTTCCCAGGCTTCCCAGCAATGGGAAATTTAGATTGAGGAAGAGGATCCCCAAGAGCTGAGGATCTATGAGAGTTAAAATCAGTCAAGGATGGTTTGAGTACGAGTCTACCAACTTGTCTGGGCTGACTCCATTTCCTGTTGATAATTGTTAGATGCCATATAGTCAGTTTCCACTCATAATGACCCTGTATACAACAGAACCAAGCACTTCCGGGTCAAGAGTCATCCTCACATTGTTGTGTTTGAGCTCATTGCTGTACTCACTGTATCAATCCATCTCATTGAAGAACTTCCTCTTGTTCACTGATCCTCCACTTTACCCAGCATGAAATCCTTCTCTAGGTACTGGGCTTTTCTCATAAAGTGTCCAAAGTATGTGACATGAAGTTTCATCCATGTTTGTAAGAAACGTTTTGGGTGTGTTCTTCCAATATAGATTTGTTCATTCTTTTAGCATTATATTTAATTTTTTCACCAACACCATAATTCAATTTCAGGCATTGATTGTGCATTTCTGGTCCTTGAAGAGAATTCTTCAAACTCTACACCCTGCAGGAAAGAAAGATGATAATGATGATGGTGGTGGAGATGGTTGTGGTGGTGATGGTTATGGTTCAGATGCAAAATAGAGTATAAGCTTTATTCAGCTCTTCCCAGGATCATTCATTTCTGCTTGCATCCTCTCTTTCCCCTATCACAATCCCTCTTACCGAGGTGTATCTGCTTCATACTTGATCTTTCCTCCAAGTCATTTTGATACTGGTTTTCCTAATTTTTATAGTACGCTTGATAATGTCTTCTCTTTTCTTCCTGTGAATAGTGAAACCAATGAAATAGATGAGCAATAGCTAGACTCCAAATGGCTTTTAATGATCCTTGCTTCTGTGTTTATGCTCTTGTGTAATGCTCACCCTCTTTACCGTCAATCAAAGTTAGTTGGTGTGACCAGTAGACTACTGGAGATTCGATGGTGTGTGATTACTAGAAATGGAACACCAACGACATTGAAGCTAGTTGGTGTGACCAGTAGACTACTGGAGATTCGATGGTGTGTGATTACTAGAAATGGAACACCAACGACATTGAAGCTTCCACTTAGACCTTCAGTCCCTGCTCTGGGGAAACCAGATGCCACATTATGAAGATTCTCAAGGAAGTTCAAGTTTCTAGTTATTACAATGACGGTTCCTAACTACCACAAGTAAGATCAGAGTTTAGATATAGTAGAAGAAAGGGAGGGACTCAGAAAAGCTTGGCTAGAGAAGAAGAAGAATGTATGGAGAAGAGAGAAGAATCTTGCTAGATGGTGGTGAGGCTTTGGGGAGAAGCTAGGAAAGCCAATTCTTTTCAGAAATATTTCTTATTTGGTTCACACGATTTCAGTTAGATGATTATGGAGAGGAACACAATATTCATGAAAATCTGTGAGGGTGTCAGGGTGGGAGATGTAACCAAAGCTGACCTCATAGTAACTTGGGTCCTAGACAAAATCCAATCAACATAACCTTACTTAAAAGACTCTAGTGGAGACAAGGCTAGAACTGTGTTCTTCTAACTTCTAGTGCATTGTGGAGAAAGATATCCTTAAGAATGATGGTTTCTCAGCTACAGGTTTCATAGATGAAACTATTTCCAAAAATTTTGGAAGCCAATAGTTTGGCTGACTTTTCTTTTGAAGATGAATGCATTTGAAACACACACCACCACCAAGAAAAAGCAAAGAACTCCATTAAAGATCCTTACTATCATTTCCAAGATTACCAAACAGTTATCTATACTTCTGACAAAACAATCACTGGTCTTGATCAGGTATCTTGGGAAGGGAGCTGCCATAGGTTCTGGATGGTGTAAGTTCTAGGAATTTTTACTTGTATCTTAAAGTAACAGATAACTTAATGGATTTTATAGCGATTATAAATGTGTTTATAAATTATAATAAATAATTTTCCCAATAAATAAAAGTTCCCTGATGACAGGAGCTATTGTTTTAGCAAATCAATGGGATAGACAATCTCCTATTGGGAAAAGCAAAATAAACAAACAAACAAACAACAACACAAATGTTTTGTGTTTGCACTAATCACGGGTTTTCCTGGCGAGCTGGGCAACGTGAACAGAGGTCAGAAGAGGGTTTCTGAAGGGAAGAGAAGAGGAGAAAGAGGAATCCTCAGGCGATAGACAACAGAGAGCACAACTGGTCTGTATTTGGGGTAGGTGACGAGCCGGCAGTTGGCACACAGCCCTGTCTGGTGGGATGCGTTGAGGAAGAGGTGTTGCCTTAGTTCTTAATCACCCAGAGCTCCCAGAGAGTCCACTTGTAGGGATGGACAGGCCTTCTCTCCCATCTCACCACATCCTCCTTCAGCTCTGCACAGAGCCACGTGTGCACCGTCTTCTTCCTCAGAATTGTCTTCTATATTTAACAATGACAAATGTGAGTTTGGGGACGTTAAATCCCACATCAGTAAGACTGGGCTTTCTTAGGGTTTCTGTTTTGTTTGCTATTCGTCTACTTAGGAAGAGATATGTTGGATGGTGAAATGGTTCATTATTTAACTACTCCTGGGATCTTTCCGATGAGGCCTGCTGGTAAGTGCTTGACTTCTAACCTAAAGGTTGGTGTTTTCAACCCATCAGCCACTGTGTGGGAAAAAGATGTGGCAGTCTGCTTCCATGAGGATTGACAGCTTCCGAACCCCAACGGGGCCATTTTGTTCTCACAGGGTTGCTATGAGTAAGAACTGACTTGAAAGCTATGGTTTTTATTTGGTTGTGTGAGTAGAAGCACAGTCTCAGCTGAGACCTAAAGACCACATGGGGGCACTGTGAGAGCGCTGTGGAGCCCCTGAACCCAAAGGTCTTGGGGAGGAGCTGAAGGAGCTATCTGCAGGGGACAGTTAAGAGGAGTCCTCTGTAATCCTTCCATTAGGAGAATCTGAGGACAGGTGTTTATTCTATGAACCCTCAGGGAGAGAAGGGGGAAGACCGGGAGAGATTGGACTGCAAGTGAGTCTGGATGAGCTGGGTAGGAACAGAGGGCCTTGGGGACAGACAGATACCTGGTCCAGCCTGCAGCTTCCCCAATGTGAGGGGTAGAGACAATGACTTCACATCAGTGACATCACTGCCCCTCCTCCAATCAGAGAAGAACTGGTACTTCCAGGGAGGGAGGACACACCCTCTGCAGGAAGAAACCACCAGTCCCCTGACCAGCCATGGGTCTCTGGCTCCTCTGCTGGGTAGCCATCTGTCTCCTAGGGACAGGTGAGTTCGAGCCATAGAAGGACACCCTGTTCAGGGATGGGCAGACCATGAATCCCAGGAACCCTGGAGTCCCTACTGTGCCCCTTCCAGCCTCTGTTCCCTCCCTCACAGGTCCAGTGGATTCTGGAGTGACTCAGACTCCAAGACACATGATCAAAGCTCGAGGCCAGCAGGTGACGCTGAACTGTTTCCCCATCTCTGGTCACCTCTCCGTGTCCTGGTACCAGCAGGCCCAGGGCCAGGGCCCCCAGTTCCTCATTCAGTATTACAACGAGAAAGAGAACTACAAAGGTGATGTCCCCGTGGGCTTCTCGGGCCGACAGTTCTCTGACTACCACTCAGAAGTGAACCTCAGTGCCCTGCACTCGGCCGTGTTCCTCTGTGCCAGCAGCCCCACACAGCCCTGCAGAGCCACCACCACTCCATTCACAAACCTCAGGGACACCCGGCAGCGGGGGCTGTGCAACAAAACAGGGAAGGTCTCAACCCCAATAGTGTAGCCTGGGCCTCAGGGGACCACAAACCCACAAGTTTGTGGACTCACTCCCAGTTCCCTGCCTGGCCCTCCTCCGTACACCGAGGAGAGGAAGAGATTAACACTGTATAGCGGGCACCCGTCTTTCTCAGGAGGGGTTTCATTCAGGGGTTGCATATGCAGAAGGAAGCATTGCAGGGCGATTCATTGTATAATTAATTGTTGATATGGGAGCTTTCAAGTTGTTCAGGCTCATGATGAACCCATGGACAACTGATCCACGCACTGCCCAGTCCGGCACTGTTCTCACAACTGTTCCTGTGTGTGAGCCTATTGTGGGAACCAGCCAGTTCTTCAGCCCTTGTGTGGTGTGTGATGCAGGGCCATGTGTGGTTATATGGTGTGATAATATATAAGTATGGTGGACAAGCTGCTTGTGTCTGTGTGGCGTGCATGTGTGTGCATGTTGGTGTGTGTACTCTATGGTACGTTCATGTGTGTAATGTGAGAATGTCTATTCGGTGAGTGTGTTTTGTGTGTGTGGTGTATACATATAAGTAGTGCATGCTTGCACATGGTGTTTGCATGTGTGTGATGTGTGTTGTATGGGCTGTGTATTGTGTGTATGTGTTATGTGCATGTGTGTTGTGTGGAGTGTATTCAGTATTTGGAGCATTATGGTTTATGTGGTGTGTATTATGTACATATGTGTGAAATGTGAATTTGGTGTGTGTGATCTGTGCATTTGTATCCAGTAAGGTACTTGTACATGTTTGTGATGATGCATATAGGTGGAGCATGTGTATGTGTCACGTGTGAATGTGTATCAGGTGTGCATGTGTATGGGACATGCATGTGCTATGCATGATATGTTCATGTATGTGGCACACAGTGGGTATATATGCATATGGTGTATGCTTGCAGGTGGATTGTGTGTTCCTATAGGTAGTGTGCTATGCATGTGTGTGTACATGTGTGCTGTGTGCATGTGTGTGGGGTGTGTTGTGTGTTCTATGTAGCATGTGCATTATATTTGGTGAAATTTCATGTGTGTGCTGTTTGTATGTGTGTGTTGTGTTGTATGTGATGTGTGTATTTTGTAGTGTTTGTGTAGAAGTGTATAGTGTGTGTTGTGTGTTGATGTTCATTTCATGTGGTACACCCATGTGTGTTGTATGTAATGTGTATGATGCATGGTATGTGTGCATGTGTGTAAAGGGGCCCAGGTACTTCCTGTCAGGGCAGGTATACAAGAGGAAACAAAGTGTTTGTTCTATGGGTACTGGGGACTGTGCTTCACCTGGACTCACCTTTTGTCTCAGGGCTGTGCAGGACAGAAGAGTTGCCTATCTGGGGTCCTTCCTGAGGGCACATGGGGCTCAGGGAACCTTCAGAGGGTGACATCAGAACAATGACTCACAGATACTCCTATCAGGGAAAAGAGGGTGCAGAGCATTAGTGTGCTCAGTGTAGGACACCCCGCCCTAAGCCAAGGACATCCACACATCCTGCCTGACACACCATGAACTCCAGTCTCCTCTGTTGGGCAGCCCTCTGCCTGCTGGGGGCAGGTGAGTCGTGGGTACATCTGGAAAGGCACTGACCTGACTTTGCCACCCTGAAGTTCAAGCTCAAACAGGAGACTCCTGCAGCTGGGCCCTGAGCTCTGTCCTCAGCTTCTGTTCCCTGTGCCCACAGGCCCAGTGGATTCTGGAGTCA